TATGACATAAGTCGTATATTATATTCCAGCATCAATAATAATTATGTTACAGCGCCGTAAAACCATTTTATACGAAATGAAAATCTCATGTTTTACACAGATACGACTACGACTTGGTAGCTAGACTAGGTAGAATAACTGGGCTCTAACCTCATGTTTATGTTGGATTTTAAATTAAAAAAAAAGGGAAAAGGGAAAGGAAAGGGAGGGAGAGGAAAGGAAGAAAGAAAGAAAGGGGAAAAAAAGAAAAAAAAAAAGAAGAGAAAGAAGAAAAAATGAACATAGTTGCTTTTCGAATCATTCATTCAATCACAACAAAAAATGTTAGTTTATTTTTGGATCCCAGTCATTTCCTTTGACATGTACCTCTTGGCCATCTTCCCGGGCAATTTTTGCAGAGTTACGAACTTCTGGATCAGAAGAGTCTCTGCAATAAACACAAGTCGGCGGTTGCCGGGTTCTCTTGCCCTTTCCTCTTGTTCGCCTCTTCTCTCTGTGGAGATCAGGAATAAATCCTGTCATCGCTGCTATGGTCTCCCCAGCAACTGTAATCGGCAATGCATCTGCAGGTCTCTTACGATTGACCGGGAGTGGAAGTGGAATAGCTGCCGGAAAGTTGGGTGCTTGTAAGTTACGCCGCATATAGTATGCAAACATTGCCATTTGATTTCGTAGCATTAATTCTTGAAGACTCAAGCTGACCATACTGCTGTTTCCAACAACATTTCTTTGTTGTGCTGGTGGTCGAACCTCGACATGTTGGTGCTCTCTGCCCAGGCCATTACCCGTTTCCCTTCCACCCAACCCAACCTCTCCATCTAATTCTGCAATCGCATCTCCAGCAGTATCATCCACATTATATCCATCCTCCAACTCCAACGGCACACTTTTTGTCAAGTAAGAGTTCAAAAGCTCAATCCATTGCATCCTGGATCCTCCTGTTTCTCTCCCAATATCGATGATACTTTTTCAATTGTACTTGAAGCTTAGGAAATAGATCACGTCCATGCTCCATGGCATTGTCCGTAAACTGATGTGCATCGTCACTATCGAAGACACTGCTTTTACCTTCTCTGGCATCAACCGCAACTTGGTTAACTGGAAGAATTTCAGCAGCTGAATGATGTTCACAATCGCTTGTGTTGTCGTCAGCAGATGAGCACAACGAATTGGACGATGCTGGTAAACGAAAAAAACGAGCAACTGATGGATGTCCTTTTGAATCATTTTTCAGCATCCGTACCCTATCTCTTTCCCCGGCCTCTTTTCGTATCTTGTCGTTGTGAAGCTTTCGATAGATTTTCTTTGTTGAAGTCATGGTGGACCTTTTCCTTTGATAGGAATCTTTTTTTCCATTTGGTCGTCCCATGACAGCAAAGGCGTGGTTGTTCCACGAAGGTACTCACAGATTCCTCTGCGCTCGAAATGTAGTAAGGCGGGACGGGGATACGTCGTAGAAAGTTCTTGTTGCTGTTATTTCGATGCGCCAGCGACAAACGTCGTCCTCTAGAGCTACTAGTAGAGTACACAGAAGGGGATGTAAGTCGTGTGGTAATACTGCAGAAGATGATGTTGACTTTTGTTTCGTTCCACCATCAACAGACAACACGACAGGTCCGATAAAAATAGATGACGTATAATAGGGAATTATTTTGTATTGAACCAAGATATATATATAAATATAACTTACTATTGTCATCGTTTCGCTCATCCAGCTGTTTATCGTTTGGAAGCGGAGGACAGGTCAATAATCGGCTTTCAATTTTACATAACGACTGTTGATAGACTTTTCAAACAATGATTTTATGTAACTGAGTTCGGCAGGAAACCTTCCACGTGTGATCAATCAAAATCAAATAGGGACAGGAGCTAATCTTACATAATGTCTGGTTTCCATCACTTAACGACAGGGAAGGTCCCCACACTACTTATCGTTTGGAAGCTGGGGACAGGTCAATAATCGGCTTTTCATTTTACATAACGACTGTTGATATACTTTTCAAACTAGGCTTTAAGTATCTGAGTTCGGCAGACAACCATCCTTATGTGATCAATCAAATTCAGATAAAAACCGACTCTGGACTTTTCAAAGGACAATTAAGGTCGTCGATTTTGAAAGCCGACAGTTTCATGAGCTGAGAGCCAATAATAACTGTTAGTCGCCGATCGCTTTTTCTCATCACTTTTGAAACAGGCATCGCAGTCAGTCTTCCTCCCTTCTTCCGTATTTTTTCCATGTTCTTCGATGACTACCTCGACCAACATTTTACGCCAACACGCCAACAATGCTCTCTCTATTCATACGGTCTACGGTAGTACCGTACCGTAGTCGTATCATACCCGTACTCGGAGTACCTACGATCGCACCGGTAGTTGAAAAGGAGCATGGAGTGTAATTCATTGATGATTTACACGACGTTCTTTGATTTCCTAGATCTTTGCAGCTCAAAGATTTGACCGTCATGACATGTAGGAGGAGATGAAGATAACCGGAAAACCAAGGCGCCAACGGAGGCCGTTGAGAGTCTCGGCCAAAATGATAGTGGGGTCAATTTTATGTTGTGGAGTCACTTCAGTCGTTTTCTTCGTATTTTTAGCCTGTAAGATTCAATATGCGGATCTCTCGCCGGCTCTTCTGATGGAAAACCTGTTACACCCACTTCCAACTAAGATGCTTCCGTTGGTGGCTTATTTGGAAGAGCCTCTGAAACAAGGCAGGCCACTGCCTGTACGAACGAATCCTCGCTTGTCTAAAGTTGTTTTTCCGAAAATTCAGTCCTGCAAAGATCTACAAAACAACTTGCCAGTAGATCATGGTGTGGATATGGATGGCACATTTGGATCTACTGTAGGAGAGCTGCAGCCGATGTATCCTCTCCGAGAAAAATATGCCTCAATATGTCCAGTGGATGCCGATCCGTTTCTTCCTTGGTTACACGATATTTTTCCATCCCGAGATGGCAAATATTTGGAATTTGTGGCCCACAACAAACGTCGGTGTCGGACATCTCCAGCATTCGCAGAAGATTTAAGGAATCTGGAGCCCCAGGTGGCTATCATGCAGAGCGTATCTGTGAGACGGACCGGATTCAGTTCGAATGGATCATTTCAATATCAACTATCCTCACTCACGGACGCAGATGACGATGGTCGTGAAACCCGTTTCATTTGCCAGTTCCGTTCAATATATAATGAGGACCAAGAAATTTTGGGCGAAACGCTCAGTATATTTCCATACAATTACGAACACGCCAATTTTCAGAAAAAGAATTCCAAGCCCATGCTGACTCGGCCCAAGGACCACGATGATGTGCGTGGAGCGCATAATGAGCAAATTTGGAACAGCGTGCTTCACTTTCGATGCCCTATTCCAGAACAGTTGCAATCAATTGTTGCTCAAGGATCGTCGGTGATCAACGACATTCCTTCCATCTACGTCGACCTAGTTCCCATTCGCACTCCAGCCCGCGAAACACGCGAGGGCTATAATCCAAATGTGGAATCACTATTTGATCCCATAATGGAATGGGGAAAGAACCACCTTCTTCCTCCAGTCGAGAAAAGTGGTCGGTGGTCCAACATTCCATTGTGTAGGCCACCAGAATTGCTGACAGAGACGCAAAGGAACATCGGCACAACCAAGAAATATTTTCTCATTGGATGTGTATGGGCATCGGCAGCTTTTTCTACCCGTGGGGACGCATCTTCTGTCGATGACTCGATTTCTCAGCGATTATTGGAGTGGCTGGTCTATCACTTGTATATTGCCAGGTTTGATCATGTCTACATCTACGATAATTCGCAGGCCCATTCTCAAAACGTTACGCTCGAATCTATCCTTGACTTGTTTCCGAAAGATCGAGTGACGCGAATACCTTGGAAGCATCGCGTATGCAACAACAATCGTCCCATGCACATGAATTCCGGAGAAAGGAGCAGTCAATACGCAGCGGAAACAAGCTGTCGTTTGCGATATGGTCCATCCACTGATTGGATCGCTCAGGTACAGTCGTTTTCACTATCTTGTGTTGGTATCTCAAAGTTAATTCAAAAGTCTGATTTCATTTCACCTCTTGTTGAGCGCAGCTAGATGTGGACGAGTATCTCATCCCAGTAGGAAATTGGACTAACATTCGATCTTGGCTGAAAAATTTGATATTGTCTGAAGAAACTGAGAGAGCGACCCACATCTTAAGTTTCTTTCAAACCCGAGCTGTCCCAAACTACGAATTCATGGAACCGTACGTTGATGATAAGGAGTGCAAGCATTTTGCAGGTTCAGCGACATGCCTCACCAAAAGAAGGAATGTAACATTCCTGCAAGCGTACGATTGCGAAAGGACTCCCTTACCCAAACCAGAATGGGCATGGAGGGCCAAGAAACAAATTTACCGACCTGACTATGTTTTGAACCACTTTGTACATTACTCCACTGTAACTTCTCGGCTGAGAGACTATCCTCAGGAGATATCTCCGCCCTTCATCCAGCGACATCCCTTTGAAAGGCGAGTGGACGAACTGACGGAAGGGTTTATGCTACATACCAAGACGACCTATCCGATTGACACAAAAGGATGGGACCAATACTGTCGAAGCACTTTGGACGAGAAGAAAAAGGACTGCCCAATTGGATTTTCCCACTTGCAGGATGAGAAAGGTTCGGTGAAAACAGACGAGGCTTTGACCAAGGAAGGATTTGCTCGAAATTGCTATAAGCATCATCGCATTCAACACGATCTAATCTCCAAGTTGGAGGAGTTGCTGAAACAATATGACTGTGAATAAAAATGATAGGCACAAAGTACTCATCTGGAATCTACTACCATAGCAGTAGCAACCTCTTACTGATCCATCCAATGTTCAATGCACTACAGACAGCAGAACCAACAACACTCGAAGAAAAATTCATAAGAGAGAACTGATCAATACCTGGGACCTAGGACCGACCCAAACACTGTAAAGACAGCAGAACTAAAAGCGCTATCAATTTGGATGCGAAAAGATAACAAAACCCGGGATTCCAACGTGGTCTCCCACCGTAGTACTAACGTACTAACCAGGCCCGAACATGCTTAACTTCGCTGAGCGGACGGGAAGCAGTGCTGTGATGTTGGTAGTTCCCGATCATTGTAAAATACGTATAATATGTTAGAGAAACAAGATCAGACAGAAAAGAAAAAAATTACTCACACCATGTGTCGTTTCTTCACAGTCAATAAGCTACCGGTAGTAGTCTTCACAGTCAGCACGTCGTTACGGGATTTTTAAACATACACACTAAAATAATACTACGTAGTAATAATATTATTATGAGATGTAAACTACCGGTAGTAGTGCTTCAATTAGGCAGAGCTACAGAACAGTTTTACAGTTAATTAGGTAGTACTACAGTAGGTGGGTAGACTACCGTCCTGGTACTACAGTACTCGGAGCACAACGATTTTTCTGTGTGAGGGTAGTGAGGGTATTCCTACCGGTAGCCGACACTGCAATATGTATCAAGCTTCACTTCTTGTTTGCGTTGAAAATATAAAATAGTACCGACGGATGAAGTAGCTAGGTCGCGTTACTGTTTGGGATAATGGAAAGGGTTAAATGTTCATTCTATGTGTCGGTAGACCGTTCTTCTTTTATGCTGATACTCTTTTGATGCCTCCAACATTCGACGGTGCATGCTCCTTTCAAAAAAAAAATACATCGAAGTAAATTTTAGTACTGACTGTGAGTAGGTAGCGTATTAGTAATAAAATACAAAGGAAATACTCTTGATGATGATGATACTCCACTTCTCTCTCTTCCGACCGATCTCTCTCTCCTTTTTTATCATCACACACAAAGTTTTTCTTAAAAACATAATGATGTTGTGATCGCTAATTCTCTCATCTGTGGTTACCAACACGCTCTACCTAGTATGTCAACGAAAAAGACAGCTTCATTTTCTGCACTTCTGCTGCTGTTTCTGTCGATATCACCGATACCTAATGCATTTTGCCTACCAGCAGGATTTCGAGATGAAGGAGTCAACTTCAAATCTGGAACCAAGGGATTCAGTTTTGTGCCAAAAGAAAATGGAGGACACATGCTGTTGGTCTGCCAACGGAAGGGAGAAGTCATTGCTATGCTCGAGCCTGACACACCAGACAGCCAGACCGTCACAGTACTCGACATTGAGCACAAGGTCTGTCGAGACGGTGAAAGAGGAATTTCTCAGATTCAACCGCATCCCAATTTTTTGAGAAATCGATACATATACCTTTTCTACACGTATGATAAGCATGGAAATTGCGAATTTAGCACAACGAATGGACCTGTTAACGTCGTGTCACGATTTCGGCTCACGGAAGATTTGAAAATGGTTGATGAAAAGATTCTGCTCCAAACGTCACCACTTCCAGCAAAAGTACACAACGCTGGAGATATGGTATTTGGAAATGATGGTTTTCTGTACGTGTCTATAGGCGATGGTGGGGAGGCCAACGTGTATTCGAATGCACAAAAGCTGAATACTCTTCTTGGATCCATCGTTCGAATTACTGACAGCGGAGGTATCCCACCAGATAATCCTTTCCGTGGAGACAGTGACAGCGCCTGCAGCGGCGAAGGTGCGACAAGTTCCTTTCGAAGATGTTCTGAAATATTTGCGTATGGATTCCGAAATCCCTTTCGATTCGCTATGAATCCCAACGAGAAAGGCTTCACTCAGCTATTCGTAAGCGACGTCGGCGGAGCTGCTTGGGAAGAAATCAGTGAGGTTACTTCTCAAAAACCAGGCCTGAACTACGGGTACAGATATCGCGAAGGTCCTTGTAAGCGAGGAAGTAAAAGCGATTGTAAGCCCGATGACAAATATGAAGATCCTCTTTACTGGTACGAACACAATAGTGATGGAGATGGCGCTGTCACCGGAGGAGCATTTGTCCCCAACGACATCGGTTGGCCACAAGCGTATAGAAACAAGCTCATGTTTGCTGATTTTGTATTCAAGAAAATCTACCTCCTAGAAAGAGACGGAGATTGGTGTCGTAATTGCAACCCTCCTCGCCCTGAGTATGAAAAAAACGAGTTCAGAAGTTTAGACAGTATCGGTCAGCCTGTTCAGGTGAGTACTTTTTTGAGACGTGATAGTTAGAATGTTGCGAACATAGCTTTACCTATCTCCTTACTTTGCCATTACCATCATTGCAGCTTACTTTTGGTCCCTACAAGAACACGCAAGCATTGTACTACAGGTAAAGCTGCCAAGTCTGAGATTGTTGAGGAGAACGGGGAAACACATTCGTGCATCTTCTGACAACATCATTTTTATTGTCATTTCAGCGTGTGGGATCCTGATGGACGGTATACGATCCGCCGTGTCATTTACGAAGGTGGAGGCGACAGCAGCAACAACGCTCCCGACGCTTCGATCAAAATTGAGGATAGAAACTACCGGGTTGGAGAGGATATAGTGTTCGATGGGAGTGAAAGTTCTGATCCAGACAACCATCGTCTTGTTTATAGGTGGGACTTCGGAGATGGTGACACTTCGACGCTTCGAGTGAAGACAAAATCTTACAGCAGGCCAGGCACCTACGTAGTCTCTTTGACCATCACGGACGAGCTGGGGTTTGGAGACAAAAGTATGCGACTGTGGTTGTTGGGAACCCTCCAACTCCAGTTATCCATTCGCCACAACCCGGGACAACCTTTGCCGTTGGGAAGTTTTTACGTTGGTTGGATCCGCGAAAGATGACGACGGAAATCCACTGTCCGATTCAGATCTAACCTGGGAAGTACGACAACACCACAACACCCACTACCATCCATTCTTGGAGCCAACAAAAGGAAATCAAATCACTATTCCTGGAGCACCCTCTCCGGAAGATTTCGAGGCTTCAATAAATAGCTACCTCGAAGTACTTCTGACAGCAACCGACAAGGATGGCGTCACAAGCACCGTTACAGTCGACATAATGCCAAAAACAAAATCAATCTACTTCAGTACTGATCCTCCGGGGCTTGAAGTTATTTTGGACGGATTTGATATCGAGACACCAAAGGATCGCCCGCTCGAAGTCATAACTTGGATTAATCACAACCTTGTGATTGATGTGAAAGATCAAAAGGGTTACGAATTTGATGGATTGAGCAATGGCGTGCAATCTAGGCATTCCGAAATAAAAATTGGTGATGAAAGTGACATGTTTGTGATCAAATTTTCGAGTCCGACTTCTCAAGAGGGATGCAGCACTATTTGTAGGTGGAAACGTTGACCTTTTAAACTGCAACATTGTCAAGCTCACTCACACATATTTGCCCTTGATCTGAAACAGATGATATTCTTTGCAGCACAGACGAACTTTCAGAATTTTGTGCCGTCATTGAAGCTGCTGGTTTGCGCAACGCTTTTCAGTCAGGAGCTTGGACTGTATTTGCACCAACAAATCAAGCATTCTCCGAATTTCCTACTGATTTGATGCAGAGTGAATCTGTCGTCTTTTCGAGTGGGGAATCAAGATTAGAAGATGTCATTTTGTTCCATACATCCGACACGGCGGTACTTTTCAAGAACGATCTACCTTGTGTGGCTGGGCAAAACCTTGTCCCTTCTGCCATAGGCAAAGATAGTAGAACTTTGTGCGATCGCCACGTCCCGCGATTCCAAAAGGGTAAAGGAAACGCAGACAACGCTCTCCCAGAAATTGTGAACTTTGACATACAAGCATGTAACGGGGTCATTCATACGGTTAACAAAATCCTTCTATTCGACAAACTCGTTCCCATTCTATAAGGTTTGTCAACGCCACTTTATCGAGTATAATAAGATATCATACATCGATACATAGCATTTATCAGCAGCTATCTTTCGATCTATTCGTAGCAAGTTCACCCAATCTATCGAGAACGGCCAACACAAAGGACACATAATCTCGATTTCGACCAAAGAATTACACGTAGTATTTGATTCGCATTGATGTACTTCCATACGCATGTTTGAAGACCCGGTCGGCATTTTTCGTCATTTGTACGTAGCAATCATATCCTTCATCTACCCCTCAAGCTGGTACGAAAATCGTCGTGAGGGTGTTGGTTTCGGTATACCAGAGCCGCCACTGTCCCGTGAATGGGTCGAAGTAAGTGTTCACTTCGCGGCCAAGGACGGTCGGGTCATTAGCGAAGCGAGGAGCTACCCTTGCTTGAACATGCTCCGTCTCTGCTTTGAATTCCTTACGAATTCGAAGTAATGTACCGGTTCTGTTAACCCTGGAGTGAATTCTTCCTAGCAGTAGCAAATTGTCCGCCCCATCAGGTAGTCTGGGTCGTATTCGACTTTCGTCGTTTACTATGGTGTGGGCGGTCGGAAAGAGACCAAAACTTTCATCATTTTCCGTGGCCTTGTCAACCACCACACAGAGCGACATGGCCATTCGACGAGCCCCGTTCGAGTGTCCCATATCCTCAAAGAAAGCCGTGGCATCTCGTCCTGAATGCACCATAAGTGTGTCTGGTGATCCGGGATGGATATGTAGAAAGGATGTAAGGTCGTAGATGTTGCCGTGGATCCCTGCGAGACAATGATCGTGTGTATTCATTCCAGCCAGAACATAGTTGAGGTAAGCCTGGCCGAATCGAAAATAAAAATCTTTGTTGTAGGCCCACTGAGTAACATTGGACCGTTGAAAAGCCAACCTCCCAATATCCCAATCCTTTACGATCCATTCATAATCTCGTTTCCATAGCGTCTGCCAAACACTGGAACAGGTCAGGTTGTCGGGATCATCAATGATATTTCGATATTTTTTCGATACACAGGGGAGTTTTACCACGTCTCGAGGGTGCAAAAAGGAAACGATATGGACATGCACATCTGGAGGTAAATCCTTCGTGAACGGGTCCAGACCAACGTCTACCGCAAGCGGCAATGCTTGTCCTGCAACTACCTTCGTCCGCTTGGCGGGACAGAAGACGGCAATCGCAGCAGCAATGGGTTCTCCGGACGCGTAGCTTCCGACACGTTCCAACAAGTCGGTAGCGGTCATGTCTGTTTTCATCATTTTGAGGGAGGGTTCTTCGTCATCCCCCGGAAATGAATCCATCCATAGGGAAGCTAGTGATGCAAGATTTAACATTGGCTTGAGTGGGGAAG